CTAACTTTCACTACTATTATTTTAAGGCAATTTTTTTTTTCCTTCATCCTGGAGCAAATGAAAGAACTCTGCAGCTTGCTTTCCTACTTTGGAAACACCAAATCTCAGGATTTCTCCCGAGGATTAAGGGCAGGACCCACCTCCAGGGGCATCGTTTTGCTCCATCAGCCAGGCCGTGCCCACCAACGTTAAGCAAACAAACCCTCACATAAAGCTCCAGCACAAAGAACAAGGGCCCATGTTATTCCATCAGCCACAGCTGCCCACCAACCTCCAGCTACAGCCAGAGAAGCCTTTAAAGGTGTCCAGCAAAACTCGAGGCATCTCCAGACTCAGTGAGGAAAACAAACGTTTCTTGCAGCTTGGTTTTGGCAGGTGTTTTCTGACCCTGCATTGAGCTGCAGAGCAGCCAAAATCATTGAGTCACTGAGCAAGGCATCTGCTGGGCCTCCGAGCCCGGGCCAGCGGCAGGAATGCTTGGCAATTCCAGCCCTTCCATGTGCTGGCTCCTTGGAGATGCTCAGGAGGAAGCACATCTCCATGGGAATGCTATCCCGTGGGATAACCCCGGCTGTGCACTGAGGCCTCCTGGGCAAACCTCCTAACCAAAAGCAGTGGAGTGGCTGGGGCTGAGCGAGTCAAAATGTGGGTCTCAGATCTCACTGACAACTGACAGTTCCTGCTGTGGCTCCTCCAGTTTCTGCTACCACCACAGTCTCATGACTCCAAAAGCCTCTGACCTGTAAATACCTCGATGCATCAGATGGATGCTTTGAATTCCTCGCCATGCCTGCTCCCCTGAGATCCCTTGTGTGTGCACTCTTCCATCCCCTTCGGTCACACTGCATTCACCTTCCAGCTGGGCTGATGCTGGAGACAGTTCTGGGAGGGACTGGTGGTGGTGTTGTCCTGGAGAGATGGGTCTGGGAGGTTCCCTCACAACGCTCTGCTCTGAAGTTCCTCTCTTTTACAAGGAATATAAAAGAGGCCTTGGATTGCCTGACTGTGAAAGGACCCTTTTCTTTATTCCAAAGCATGAAGACACTGCTGTGACTCTTTCCAGCACCTCCAAGCCTGGATGGTCACATTCCAGTCCCTGACTGCTCCCTCAGGATCCCATATGGATGGATCTACCTTGCTGTGTGCTCATCATCCAGTGGGGTGCTCGTTTATTGGTTGGCTCTACCCTCTTCTAAAGACTTCAGCAGGGAGTGACTGCATGGAACACTTATCCCCAATTAATTCCCAACCTGGAATTGTGGGATGCATCCACAAATCACTGTAGAGCAATCTGCTGAATCCTTGGTCTCCCGTTCCCCTGGAGCCTTCCCACACAGCTCTGCTAACAAACCACATCCAATCTACGAAAAATGCTCTGTTTTCCCACTCCTCGCTTCTCTTTTCCTCTCCAGCAAGTGTGATTTTAATGCACACTGTGGTGTCACTGGGGCCAGGATGTCACTGCTGCCCTGGAACAGCGCTGGAAGAATCGAAATTACCAGCAGCACACAAAGTTCAAGGCTGGCTGTCATCCAAGTAATTCACCTGGTTCACTGTGCATGTCAGAGACTGAAGAAAATATGCTGTAATTATTGTGTTATTAAAGCACAATGGCTTGATTTCACTTCTTTGTGGCACAAAATGTGCATCTGTGATTCACACCTATTGTGTGGGGAACACGATTCCACTAAACCCAGCAGCTGGGATCTGGTCTGCAGGGTTGTTCAAAAGGTTGTCTAATAAAAATCTTGTGCTCTTCAAGGATTAACAACTGAATCACAAAGAAATACTGTCAGGACACAGAAAAGAAACAAGCTCAGAGGTGGTTCCAGTGTTGACTAGAGTTGTATAAACTGAGATCTGAGCAATTAGGAGACACAATGAGTGAATAATTCAGAGATATTTGGTACTCCAGAGTTTGTACACAAATAAAATATCTTATAAATCTTCACCAGCTTGCAGAAAGCTGCTGAGCTGTCTTTTATTCTTGTAGCTGCAAGTGGCTATAGTAGAGAAATCTGTAGCTCTGATATGTCATCCCTCTGAAATGGGTAATTTAGGGTTATGGTTTTGGAATCAGCACATTCTTCAGCACTTTTCTTCCAAGAATTTTTTTCTTCTTTTTTTTCTTTTTTTTTTTTTTTGTGAAAAGAATGAAGTAAAGCCATGCCAGCACATTGAAAAGAACACTTCAGAAAGCCAGAGCTGTGAGACAGCACCAAACAACAATAATCTTTCTTTATATTCCCGCATTTTGGAGAATGGAAAGAAAGTATTGGGGGTAGGGGGAGAAAGTGGGTGTTTCAATGATTTTTAAAAATCCACATGAGAACCTGTAGCTTTCTGTGAGTCTTTAGCCCAGCCACACATGCAGAAAAGTTACAGAACTCCCATCTCCTTTCCCAAATCCCAAAATGGAGAGCAGCCAGTCAAGCTTGTGTTCCAAGCAGTCAAAACACTGCAGCTCAATGAAGAGCCACAGAGAAAAATCCAACAACCTTTGCACCCACGGGCTGGGATTTTACTCCTCCAAGACAACTAACACAGCTTAAATCTCATCTCCGGCCCCACATAAATGAGTGGTCATTCCCTGCTCCAGTTCCAAGCAATAACCAATCTGGGAGGCCTCTCCATGAAAAGCTGGCAGCCCAATTTGACTGGGAAAACTCCAGAAATGTGCTAAGAAGTGAGACACGGCTTCCCAGCCTTGAATATTCCACCAACGTCCTGCCAGCTGACGTGTGCACCTCGGTCAGCAAATGGAAGGGCTGTGGGAGGCAAAAGAGAGCAATCCCAAAGGATATTATTGCCCCAAATTCTCCAGAGCAGCCTCTTCTGTCACTGATGAACTCCTGATTGCTCTGGCAGTGAGCACTGAAGGAGGAACCCAGGCTGAGTGCTCAGGGAGGTGGTTTCAACACACGTGGACTCCCAGGCAGATCAGAGAGTGAAGAACAGATCTCATTCTGCTGCCAGAGAAAGGGGTTTGATCTGACATTCCTGAAGGCAGAAAAAGGCACTTGTACAGCAGGGACGGGAGTTTGAAGTTGTGGTCACTCCCCAAGGCATTGATTGTCTCATGAGCAGCCCAGTGAGGGCAACACAAAGTGCCTGAGTGTTCACTGCAGGCTGGGCACGCAGAGGCACCGAGGGGCTGCTCCCAGGAGGGAACATCCTCAGAGGGGCAAATCTTTCCTAACAGCCCTTTGCTGGCACATTTGTATCCCCTGAATTCTTGCCTGGAGCACGAGAGGAGCAGCTGAGCCCTCAGCCCTGCAGTGCTGCAGTTAAACCATTGACCTTCGGATCGATAAATGGTTCAGCCCGTTTGTTTTACAATGAGATCGTTTAAATCAAAGTAATTAAAAAACACTGAAAGGAAGATGGGGATTTACCTAAGTTAGGAAGGGGAACCAGGGAAGGTTCTTCTCAGACCCCTGGTACCAGCAGTGCTTATTTATCTCTCATTTGCCAGCTTATGAGCCTCCCCAGTGTCTCCCACTTATTAGAGTGTTTTGTACACAGTGTGACAGAATCTATTTACATGTCTGTAAGCAGGAGAATGAGAAACCTGTGCGTCTCAGAACATGAATCCCGAATTTAGTGAGCCATTTGAACGTGCTAGAGAAAATAAAGTTGAATTTGCATTTCCCACAGAGCCGAGACACTCTCTGGGACTCCAGAAGTCCAGATTCTAATGCTGGGGAGGGGAAGAGCAGTGGCTTTTATGTTTGTTAACATCAGCTCAAACTGTGCATGCACCCCTCTGGTAATCCTAAAACTTCCTGCCTAAGGAAAATAAGATTCAATTCTGCATCTTAGTGGTCTAAGAGGAGGTGTAAGACGTGAGAAGTAGATACTGTTCTTCTGAAAAAGAGTTAATATGACTACATACGAGAGAGGATAGAAAAATGAAATAAAAAGCACGATCCTCCTCTCTTAATATTTTCATGGAAATATCATCCTTTGAAACCCCCGAAATCTGTCCTTGATTATGTTAAATTCGATTTCAAATGGCACAGAGCCCCAAGTGAGGCAGTGCTGCCCACTTCTATCTGCCCAGTCAACTGTTCACATAGTTTAAATGTTACTCCATTCCCTTAACCACATTCTTTCCACACAGTTTTAGGTCCCTGTGACATTAACACTGCAGTTGTGTCCCACTTGAAGCTCTAGCTGTCAGCAGAGGATGTGCTGGGGAAATACATAACTGGTTCCTATCTGTGTAGCAAGTGCAGTACTTGGTGGATTTCAAACTGTATTCACAAGGTACCCAATGCATATTAAAGAGCTGAGAATCAATTTGTCCGAAAAACCACCATCTCAAGTTGTTTTCATAAACAGGAACAATCTGTTGTCCTCAATGCAGCCAATTCTCTCCACTAACAGAGAAATAAGATCTGCAATTGCAAACAACTTTTCCCCCCAATTTATGCTTTTCTGTCTGCCTTCCAACAGAGCAGATAGCAGAACACCAGCGTGTGGAATGCTATAAATCCATGGAATAGCTGCAGTTTTAACCGTGGACTTTAATTCCAGGGTGAATTTATGTGGTCCTTAGCTAAATATATCCTCCTAAGTAAATTACTCATGCACTGCCTGGAGGAAAGCTCTCTGCAGATAAAGAGTCTGTTCCCAAGCGCTCCGTTTGACAGCACAGACGGCTCCAACTTACACATCCTTCTCCCGGGGGCAAAGAGCCCCCCAGACTGACCAAGGGGAGTGCAGGGTCCCCCTTCCCTCTGCACAGTCAATTCTGCCTGGCTCCTGCTGCCTCCCAGGGTACAGATCAATGCCAACTACATGTTTATCTCCAGCCCCTGGAACGAGAGGGATTTCTAAGATCATGTGAAGCACATCACCACATTCATTTCCACTTAGCCATGCAGAAGACAGTACAAACACGAGCCTATCCCTGTGCTTTAGTAGGATGGGAAACTCAGACACTCTCTCATTATCCCTTTTCTCCCCCTCTCTTTTCTATGTTTTCTACTTCTTACCATTGGAGTTGTCCTGGTCCAAAGGATTATCTGGTTCCATTACTTCAAATAAAAGCATCCAACATGCAGTTCTCCATGCAGCAGAGGCATAAAAACACAGCAGTTGCCTAAGCTGATTCACCTGATTTATGAATTAGTGCAGCATCCATAAGAGGCTGTGTTTCTTCTTTTGTATTACATCTGGCTCCTTTTCCAACTCGATGGCTGGGTATTACAGCATGCAGGCCTTTTTCCAGCATCCTCTTAATGCATTATATTTAAAGTAGCAGCAACCTTTTTCTCCCATCCCCCAGACTAAGTTCCAGCAGTAACTAGGCTGAGCTGGCAGCGAGCGGAGCTCATTCAGAACAGGACCTGCGAGCGTTCTCCGAGCCGTGTTGCTGCATCCAGAGGATGATTGATACAATCAAAAGTAAGTGGGCTCTGACACAGCACGGTCTGCACCGCAGAAAATCCCACCAGAACCAGGCAAAGGTCCCGAGGGTTTGGGGAACGCCTGGTGGAAGCCACCAGCCCGCACCCCCTCACGCACAAACACAAATTGTGTCCTGTCCCCTCCTCCTCCTCCCCCCGCTCCGATCTTTTATAACCCTGGATCTCCTCCAGCAACAGTCTGCTCCTCTACTGGGTTTATAATAAACTCTGCCGTTCCCTCGTGTCCCCCGGGCTGCCTGGCACAGGGAGGAGGCTGCCTGCAGGGTGAACAGCCCAGCCCGTGCTGCCTGCAGGGTGAACAGCCCAGCCCAGCCCGTGCTGCTTGCAGGGTGAACAGCCCAGCCCGTGCTGCTTGCAGGGTGAACAGCCCAGCCCGTGCTGCCTGCAGGGTGAACAGCCCAGCCCAGCCCGTGCTGCTTGCAGGGTGAACAGCCCAGCCCAGCCCGTGCCTGGCTGGGAGGCAGCGCTGTGACTGCACCGGGCACAGGGAACTCGCTGCAGCAGCAGCATCAGCCCTTGGCTGGGACCTTGTCCTGCATTCCCCTGCTCTGCCAAGCCAGGACTGCTGCTAAGCTGGCGTTTACAGCTCCTGCCAATGAGCTGGAGGACTCTCCTGGTAAATGACACCGGAGTGTCTCAGCAGGGACCGGCTCAGCTGACAGACACGTCAGGGCATCACAAGTCAGGTCACCTTCATTCTGCCACTTGGGTCTGCCACCACCTCCCTGAGACCTCACGTAACTCATAACTCTTCTTTGTGCCTCAGTATTCCATAATATTGACATTGAAATATATTTTATCTCACAGCAAAAGGGCTGAAACCTCCCAGCTTTACATGCTTTGAACTTCTTGGATAAATGACATGGCACAAGGGCTCAGGAAGAAGCCTCCATCACCTGGCTCAGGAAGAAAAACTTCATTTTCTCTGAAGACATGTCCACAAAACAGCATTTCCTGTCTCATGAACACAAGTTCCCAGAATAACAGAAAAATCTATCAGTGTGCAACTCTAAACCGAGCTGTGCCTCCGAAAGGTAAATTCATATCGCTGTAACAACAGCCCTGAAATAACCCTTCAAATCCAGCCTTCAGGATCCATTTTACTTGGAACCTATGATTCAAAGACTCCAGTTAAGGCACTATAAAACATACCTTGTTTCAAAAGAGCACTTTCCACTGAATTGCAAGCAGGAACTGCTCTAAACATCTACAGCACGTTTAGTGCATTGTGGGTCTGTCAGGCCTGATGCCAGAGGGCTCTGAGGCAGGCAGGGGTTTCTATTTTGGGTCCCCCTGGGTAACGCTCCTGCCTCAGCAGCTCCCTGTTCCCAGAGTCCTGTGAGCAGTGTTTGGAGCTGCCTGTTGACGCCGGGTGCTCCGGGCTGTGGGCGGACAAATGAATGGCTGGAAAACACGGAGCTCTGCGTGGAGGAATTCACCAGCAGCTTGAGAGGACTCTGGTAATTGTGCCTTGCAAACACATTCGAGCACTGTTCCCGAGGATTAGGCCACAGTAATAGAAGAGAGACTCATTTCCATCTATTTGTTTTAAGCACAGCCCCCATTACACAGCGCTCTGAGATCCCTGCCCCGGTGGAAATTACAGTGCTGCAAACCCTCCGTTCCCCCCCGCCCCCCACGCTCCCCATGTTCTTTACAACTTCAATACTTCTCCCACTCCCTGCCAAAACAAAAAACCTCCCTCTTTCCACCTTCCCCACAAAACCACCCACTCTGTGGCTCCAGGCACATGGCACTGCCTGTCAGTGCCCACCTGCTGGGGCCATGTCCCGGCTGCAGGAGCCGGTGTCTGATGGGAGGGGTGTTGGCTCCTGACTGACACCACCACGAGGGGTTTAGAGAAGCTCTGGGGCTGAGGAGCCCTGAGCAGGTATCATCTGCCTGTCCTGAGTCCCCGGATGTGGGGGTACAAAGATAGAGTGAGTGACTCACTGACAGCCTTCCTGCATCACAGGGGACTAAAAATGCCTGGGGAACCATGGCTGTGGTAATGGAACCCACAGCTCTGAGTCAGGACAAACCATGTACACAGAAGCAATTTGTATTCTTCCACGAGACAGATGCTGCACATACATAATACAGACATTTTAGAGCCAGGGAAGAATAAACACCTGTGAAATCTTTCCTTGTGGAGAGTCAGAAATAATGCAGGAATGCTACAGAATAGCTAAGATCAAGAGATCAAGATAGGAAAGTGAAAGGCAACAGTTATTTAGACTTTAATGACTTTGTGTGACAACCAATTTGATTTTAATGACATCCAAATGATTTGCTGATCTGTAGTTACAGCCCTAGTAAAAATTAATCCTCAATGTGCAAGTCAGAATGATGTCAATATTTTGGCTAAGGCAGCATTCACCGTTCCGAACAATCGTGCAATTGTCATCCCTTCTTTGTTTGAGCTCAGCTCACACAGTGAGGCAAAGGAGCTCCTGCCATGATTCTGAAAAGCAAGGGACAGTTGGAAGACCAGGGCTTTGATCACTCGGGATTTTAATTGCTCGGGCACTGAAAGGAAAACTGCAGAAGTGAAGAGGGAAATGATTTGCAGTCAAATGGCTGAATGGTCAGAGGCTGTGCTGGACCAAATCCTAGGAAAGGAGCCAAGAGCACTGAACTAATGAGTGTGGAAAGAGAAGGCGAGCTAGAATGTTCTCTGGAATACCCAGGAGGTTAAGTAGAACACAAGATGGAGTTTTGGAAAGCTGACTCTTCAAGGAAGGAATTTAGAAATTGTTGGAAGGAGGTGAAAATTAAATGTCTTCTGCTTCTGTCTAATCAGAGCATCTCTGCATCCCCCCCAATGGCTGGTTTGGAGACAAAAAAAGAAGGAATATCCAGTTGCCTGATGGTTGTAGGACGTTTGCTTCAGCAGCTTTCATAACCAGGCTCCAGTTGTGCTCAGTGTGTCAGACTTTGGAGGAATTTGTAGCTACCACTTCCTAACTCCTGTGTCTCCTCCTAACAGATGGAGTCATCACTCACACTGGCATTTATTTTACACTGTGACATGAAATTGTAAACAAGAGGACCCTTGCTTTTAGTTTGCTGTAAAACTTTGGGCAGAGCCCCTCACGTGTCTGGTACCAGCCCCACAGACCAGCACTGAGCCTTTACTGTAATTGAGTATTTCCAGATTGAGCAATAAGCCTAAGTTTGAAGGTGTATAAATGTGGTGATAAAACTGCTCTTGGATTAGTTTCAGGGCAAAGGATTTTCTTTGTTGTTCTGTTTGGACCAGGATTTCCTCCTTCATGGACAGTGGCAATGATTACAGCCAGCAGAGTCCAGGGAAAGCCTGTTTTCTGTTCTACCAGGTGCCTAAAGATCTACAGGAAAGTGGAAATATTGTCTCAAACGGCCTGAGAACGATGCCAGTGACATCAGGGGCATTAATCAGGCCTTGCTCACACCAAGCAGAGTACCCGCAGACCCAGGAGCCCAGGGCACCTCCTGGCCATCATGAACGTGACTTACTTTGAGAGTTATAAAAACCTGAAGAGCTCCAACTATTTAAAGTTTTAATAGGCCTAAAATGAGTCTTTTCCAGCACAAGCAGGTTAAAAAAACCCCAACCATTCAGCAATTCCATCTTAGTTGCTAACATCTCTGCAAAACAACCCTTGGGCACCCATGGCCCGAGTGCCACCTCGGCAGTGCCCCACTGTGTGAGCAGAGCGAGCTGCAGATGGACAGATCCCTGTCCCAGCAGTTGGACTGCATGATTTTAAAGGTCTTTCCCGAGCTGATGATTTGAAAGCAGGAGCCGTTGTGAGGCTGCAGGCTGGGTGTGTGCAGCAGTCAGTGGGAGGGTTCGCTGCTCTCCCCCAGGGCGGAGCGGGGCCCTTGTTCGGCTGCTCTGGGGAGCGGGGACAGGCTCAGCGTGAGGCCACAGCTGCCACCTCTCAGCCCTCCCGTGGAACACAGCTCCGTATGGAGGAGGGAGCAATGAATGCCTGCGAGTTGAAAAGCCAGCGAGGCACAGACCTGCTTAACAAAACCGTTTGCCAAGGTTACTGGGGGTGCTGTCAAAGCCTCCTCTTTTGTGAGGGCTGAATAACAATTCATACCCAGTAACCGGCTTCGCTGTTCCTTTGGCTTTACCTGGCAAGTTTTCAAAGTCACTGCTCATGGCTGGGGCTGTTCCCATTGACATGCAGCTTATCTTGCCCTGGACAGCAAGTGCAGGGATCATCCGACTCCAGAAGTCCCTGCCAAAGCCCTTTTGTGCTGCTTTGCTGCTTGAACTGAGCCCCAGCTCTCAGAAATGTGCCTGAATGTGACACGAGCACAAACTGGGCATGAGGCAGCCTTGGTTACCTCGTACTCGAGGGGAGAATCCCCCTGAGAGAAAACTAACCTTTAATTTGGTAAACTCAAACATCCCTGGCATCTTCAGGAAGCCCCAGCTGCAGAGCAGCCCCGTTCTGTCCATGCAAAACCGCTCCTGCCAGCCACACAAGTCCGGGGAAGAGAAGGCATAACCTGTTCCTCAAGAATCCCCCAAGGGTGATCTGTCTGCTGAGGGGCCCACATGGAAACCTCTGCCCTCAGCTGTGTCCCCTCTGGAACGTGCAGTAAGGGGGCAGACATGCTCTGAGGAGCCTGCATTTGGGGAGATGGAATTGTGTACCATTAAATCAGCAGGTTTTAGCTCAGTTTTCAGAAGAAGCTGATGCTCTGTTCACACATCTGAGTGGCAGCTTTTCATCCAGAACTCCAGCAAAGCTCCACCACGGAGAAAAAGGAGAGGCAAAAGAAAAAGGTGCAATGGTGAAATGGAGAGTGAAAGCTGCAAGATGTGTGTGGGAGAAAGAGCCAATGTGGAAGGCATTCCCTGGATATCAGTGCAGGAGCTGGCTCCTGTCACATCCTGCCCTAGTGCTCTCAGTGCTGGGAGCCTTGAGCAGTTTGCTGCATGGGGAAGTTCTCAGGTGGGAGAGCAGCTCAGTTCCCAAAATGTGGCACTGACTGAACCACC